GGAGGAGGAGAAGAAGAAGAAGAAGAAGAAGAAGAAGAAGAAGAAGAAGAAGAAGAAGAAGAAGAAGAAATAATAATAATATCTGGATAAGTGAAATTGCAATTCCAGGGGATGCCAGAGTTGAAGATAAAGAATTGGAGGTGGTACTCAATGGACAGTTCAATTCTGTCAAAGCCACCATGTAGCTAGAGCTGGGATAAGTTAGTACTGCCACATACCAACCCAGTCAGCCTGGCAAAAGTAACTTCTATAAACTTTGCATGCAAGAATAAAGGCATGAAAACATTGCCTTATTCTGCAGCAATTATTTATTGTCATTTTATTTTAAAATATTTGATTAGAGGTACAGCACAGTTAAAACTTGAGTTCTCTCTATCATTCCATTCCAGCATTGCGATTTTTTTTTCTGAAGAACTGTGTACAGTACCTGTGTTTGCTGTGGATTGTTCCCCTGGGCTCTGTACTTCTGCATCAGTCGTAATATCTGATAATTGAATCACAAATAGTTTCACTTTCATGCAATGCAATGTAATTTGAGTTTGTCAATCATAGGAGGACATAAACTCTGCATACAGTATGATGTACACTTTTTTTTTTACAAAAGTTTCCTTTTAGCTGAGTTGTTTTACTATTCATTTATGTATTTCATTTTCAGGTGAAAATTATCTATAAGGCCTACAGTGAAATAATAGAACAAAAATAAATGTTTTGAGTAAGGCTTTCAAGAATGACAAAAGTGGATTTGAAGAGAAAACATAAAAACTATGAAATAATAACAAATTTGTACCTATCTGCACTGTGATCCGGACTTCTGATTCCATAAAACATTTTAAAAAGAGGTTTATTTAGAATATTAACATACTGACACAAAACACAATTTTAGGAAAAGATTATAAAAATGGACTTTGCAAGAATACCTACGGACTTGCTAGTTGAGGTAGGGGGGAGCAACATCTGGAAGCTGTTATTTTCCAAGTTATTTATCTGGCTAACTGAACTAAACAGTGTGGAGATTACACATGTGTATGGGGGGGGGGAGGTGTAACAAAGCAAAGCATGCAGCTCCACAGAATTACTTACTTCTCTGCTGTTACTTGTAGCAAGGAGTCTACCAAACTGGTTGTACTTGTGAGGAAAGAAAGAAATTTTAGATACAAGAACAAGCAAGTGCAGAACCAAACTTCAGTTCGTTGGCTTTCAATGTAGGTTATTTGTTTGTTTGTTTGTTTAACATCATTATAACCTTGTCAAGGTAAGATTCACTACAGCTGCATTGCATTATATTAACACAAAGGGCAGACATGCGGAGGAGGGGAACTACAGAAACGAGACACATTTTTTTTCTGTCCCATCAAATGAATTGATGCAGCAACAGAACTCTGCGACTTGCATCACAATCAGGGCTGGCCCTGCCATTAGGCAGACTGAGGCAATTCAGTCACTATATGCAATGGAGAGGGACACCATCTTATCCTTTGGTCTGTGGCAAGAACAGTAGATCATCTCTTTAATATTGTCTTGTCCTGTGGCCGGAGATCAAATAACCAAAACACACACACAAGCTCGTTTTGATGAACAATTTGGCTACAGTTTTATTGGTCACAGCTGCCAATAGTCTATGGTGCTAGTATAGGGGATAGGTCCTCCTCAGCAACTCGTCCTGGTGTTTGATGCAAACTAGGGAGACATACACAGGGTTAACCACATGGATTTAAGCCACTGCATGGTCCTGCCTGTCACCCAAAGAGCAGGGGTATGCAATAGCCCCTGAGCTGGGCATACATGCGACTTCCCTGTCTCCACCATACAATAGGGTCAACTATAGAGGGTATCCTATGCCCATGGTGCCTTAGCACCACCACCTAGATCTGTGACACTTCAGAGTTTTCAAGTAGAGAATACTCAGAAGTAGTTTATTGCTCCCTTCTTCCTTTATGAATGGTTTACTGCTCCTTTCTTCTGGAGCCATCCTGGGACTGTGCAGCTTGCCCAAGGCCACAGAGGCTGGCTCTTCTCCCAGGAGGCACAGTGGGGAATCGAACTCTCAACCTCTGGCTCCACAGGCAGAAACCTAACTTATTAGGCTATCCAGCCACCTAATTTATCTGTACCTTAGGAAAACATGTTTGAAAAAAAATCTCTGAAATGTGTGGTCAAAAACACATCTTAAAATAGGATTGGTAATTTCTATAAGATTATTTGGAATGAAGCAACAATTTCTAAATCAAAAGAGTGAACCTACATTTCTTCACCAATATAATAATAAAAGGGCCCAACTCAGTCAATTCCTTTTATTTATGGCTAATTGACAGACAAAAGTAGTGTGGGAGAATAGATCTCTTCTTGGGGGGACTATAGATGCAGAAAAGAGGCCATTCACAGAACACTACTTACAGGGAATCCAGAGACAAGAAAAACATATTACTGTACAACAAATGGCAAAGCTATCAAGTTGAGCAACTTAGAGTACATTCCTAACATCAGACCAGTGATGAGGTGATCTGGTTGGCAGCTTTCTTATTTTCACATGTATTATTATTATTTTCTTCTCCACATCAATACCATTATTGCAACCACAGAAATCTCCACACTAAACATGGTCCTAAGCACCTCTGTTATTCTACATTCTTGGCTGAAAAAGCAACATATATATTTGCAAACTTCAGAAAGATTGTCCTTTCCAACCTGTTTTGGGGGGGTTGTTGGTTTTTTGTTTGTTTTGCACAGGGGAGTCCTATTTTGACATTCAGAAACCTAAAAGTAGACGAAAATGGTTTCGCCACAGGCCTGATCCAGGACAGCTTACTGTCTGATGTATATATGGTGATTTATAAATTTGACTTAAACAAAAGATCAAAGCAGAGAGCCACTGTGAGGAAATATTTTCATTCTCTCTCCTTCTCTCCTTCCTTCCCCTCATCTATATTTTATATCAACATGGCCCTTCAGCACAGCATGTACACAAAGGAGAGAAAAGGAAGTTCAGTGCAGGTAGCTAGGAAACTCTTTTGATTATGCCATTGTTAGACTGTTTGTGCCCCGGCCACTACTTAAACGAACAACCCACCACATCCTTGGGGATGTTATTATTCCAAATCAACCTGTGTCTCAACTCTCAGAGACTGAAAGGGAATAAATCTGCCTGACTCAAAAGGAGTATCACAATGGTTAGGACAATTCTCGATGAGCTAAGGCCCTAGAAAGCCATATAGATGAAATCCAAGACACCCTAATTACTGAAAAATCTGTGGGGCAAAAGACATTTTATACCTGTCCTTCCAACAGAGGTACAAGTTACAATCCAGTTAGTTAAAATATTTCCAGCTGGAAAGCTGATATGTAGCACACAGCATGGTTAGCCAGAAAAAGACTACTAGAAGAAGATACTGCAAGTCATAATCACTCCTGTCCATAATCAAGACTACAATTCTACCAAGAGCCAATTCATTGTTATTAATTTGATTGTACATTAACTGGAATGTAATAAAAATATGTAAAAAAAACTAGACAGAATGGTATTGACACAATATCTGCACAGATTGCTTTTTACAAATATATTTCGAGTGCTGGAGATCTTGTCTGATTGTGATTCTAGCATGGACCCCAGAAAACTAAAATTTCCTTTCCCTCTGGGTTCCTGATCCAGATTAATGCTCTGGTACTTCAAATGTGCTTTGTAAAAAGCCATTCATAAATTTATTAACCTTTCATATGGATACCCCACTGCGACCAGGTTGCTTAAAGTATGTCAACATTTCAGAAGTCGGAATTGATGTAACAGCACATGATTATTTATTAGAAAATTTAAATTGGACATATGTCTTATCCATGATGCCTCATTTAAGTAAAGCAATGTGAAATCAAGGGATAAGTAAACCACTCACTTATTTATGATGGTAGGAAAGGAAGAGAAGGATGGCAAAATAACATATGTTCTTTCAAAGGAGTAGCTGTGTTAGTTTGTCTTGGCAAATAAATGGGGAGGGGGCAAGGACAAATTATTGTGACAATTTAAAGGCAAACAGATTCATTTCAACATGAGCTTTTGTTGATCAAAACCCACTGATTCAGACACAATGCTGCTGGATTTTTTTTTTCCTTCTCCTCCCACACCACTTTATTTTGCTAATATAAAGCCGTTTCAAACCATCCAGAAAGCTGAAATTTGACATGTACCAATTACATTAGTGTGAACCTGGAGCATTTTCACATCTGTCGGCCCTCACAGCTTATTTACCTCAGAACAGGGGCTGTGCATTTCAACCCAGGGAAAGCCAAACTGTTGCAAGTGGGGGAGTCCTGCTGCCTATAAAGGGTTTGGATTTCTGGGAGGCGCCCTTCCCGTTATCAGCTAGAAACACAGAGCTGTGCTATAGGATATACCCAATATACATTTCTTCAGCTTGCCAGGAGAGTGTCTTATAGAAACAAGTGAGTCAAGTAGATTAAAAATGACTTACAGGTAAGGAGAACGTCAGTCCCACAGAAAAAAGAAGCAGAATTACAATCTTCATATTTCAAATTGGTACCTGTGTGAAAGAAGCAGAAATCCATTTTCCCCCTCCACCTTTTGAAAATTATGATTCACAAAGCAAATGTCTGCCTTGGCATTACTAGGTACTCCTACCGCGCTCTCTTGTCTTGCAAACTCAGAAGAAATTATAGTTTGGTGCCTGTTGTTCTGTCAAGACTCTCCTCACGGCAGCTACAGCTTTTTGGGAGAGGCAACTGTCCCCCCAGCATGAATTTAAACTCTCTTCTGAGGGGGTCGTCATCAGACCAGAACCCGCAAGTACTCATTTGTGTTTCACGCAGTACCCAACATCTCATTAGCAGGGAGTAGCCTTATGTCACAGAATGTCTGTGGTTGGTTGTTGGTTTTCTTACCACATAGAATGAGCTAAACAAAATCAGACCCTCTCTTCTCTGCACCAGATCAGACAGGATGCCATTCATACAATTAGCAACCCTCTGAATGGCTACTTACATGTAAAAAGTACACAGAAGCCGTTGGAACCCACATCTGGAGGAGAATAACAACAGAAAGGGATGGTACATAGCCATTTTCCTGAAACAAGGTATTAGCTCCCTCCGGTCTTGCAACTTTATAAAGAGCAAATGAATATCTTTGTTTGACTGTTGTGAAAAGCCCACAGAAGAACCTTATCTCAGTTGAAGACTGAGTTCATGTCTCAAAAATGCAGTCTCCCCCACATCTTGTCTTGGTTTGAGATCCTTGGTTTCAGGCACCCTCGTTTTCAGACCTGTTTATCTCACCTCACTCTGGTTCTACTGTCAAACCTCTTAACTACAACCATATAGAACATACCTACTGAGAAGGAGGCAGAGATAGGGAAAGTTACTTGGTTTGGACTACAGCTCCCAGAGTCCCACAGCCAGCATGGTGACTGAGGCAGCCTGTGAGTTGTATTTTAATATATATTGGAAATTAATATATATATCTGGAAATGGCTCGAATCCTACTGCCATTTAGGTAAGGATTCCTTAACTTGCTGAAACTAATGTGCATCCAGGTGCACGACATGACAAATAACCAAAATGCACCATGGGACCTCAGCAATTAACTGCAATTAGCTATATGTTGTTGCATAAGCCTGATACAAGCGTTGATAGGATCCTGGCCAATGAAAAACTCTGTATTTCATGTATTTATTTATTTATTTATTTGATTTGTATCCCGCTCATCTGGTCTATACGAGTACTCTGAGTGGCTTCCAATATAATACAATCAATTAATAAAAACACAGTTACATAAAATTACATAATCTACAAATAAAAATGTAAAAACCAAGAAAATAAAATAAAGGTGAATAAAGGAGAAATAAGAAGAGAGAATCAAGTATTGACTGGAGGGAAGGCCTGAATAAACATCCATATTTTTAATTGGCTTTTAAAGATACCCAGCGTAGGGGCTGCGCGAATCTCCGGAGGAAGTTTATTCCAGAGGCGAGGAGCCATCGCTGAGAAGGCCCGATTTCATGTCTTTTCCTTCCAGGCCTCTCTCGGCGTCAGGCTCCTCAGCCTCTTTTAAAAGCTGTTGCATCTTTTTGTCTTGCTTTTCCTCTCAGCAAATTCAGAGATGAGGTTATCTAAAAATATTTGTTTCAGCACAAATAGTGATGATATGATTGTGGAACATAACTTTTCTTTCTTTTTTTTAAGTAAAGGCTAATCTGGAGAAGCTGTTTCTACTTCCCAGTTTGAAACTGGCAGAGGTAGATAAAGGCAGAGGACTGTGGTAGCACTGGGAAAACTTCGAGCAGCTCTTTACTGTAAATTATTTTAAAACTATCATGTGCAGTAGTCCTAAGGTATCACATCTCTCTGCAGCAAAGTTTCCCAAAAAAATTTGGGGGGGGGGTGTGAAAAATCTTTTTGCCTCCACAGCCTTAACTACCAATTCCGCCCCCCGGATTTTGAAATTTGTTCTTCAAAGTTTTTTTAAAGTAAGTAAAAAGTTTCTGATTTTTTAAAAAAAATCTTCATGACGCAGAAAGGGTTTTTTCAGACAGAATTACAGTAGACTCTCAAGGCATGCGAGACTACAGGGGACAGTGGTTTAAGATTAAAAAGGATATTTTCTTTTTTACATCAGGATAGCTCTGTGAGTCAGACCACCTGGGTCAGGTGTTTGATTTCTCACTGTGCCTTCTAGGAGAAAAGCCAGTCTGTTTGGCTTTGGGCAAGTTGTACAGTTCCAGAAGAAGACAGAGGCAGACCACTCCCGAGTACTCTCTACCTAGAGAAATCCTAGAAAAAATTGCCATAAGTTGAAATTCACTTTGAAGGCATTCAATCATTATTTATTATCATGATTTTTCTTTGAAATCTGACAGTTCACAAGTCAAGATCTGATATGAACACACAGGTTTATCCAGAAACACCAGCAGCATGTGATTAAACATGTGCAAGTGTCTGCCTCTAAAACAGGATGATTAATATGGTAACCAATCATTGTCTAAAATAGTGGAGTCTACAAGAGTTCCTCTAATAATGCACTCGCAACTGCTTCCTTCAAAAACATACAGTAAAACATGTATGCATGAGCAAGTATAGTATTCTATTGCCTAAAAATGGAGTGGAAGAGTGATTGAATAAGTTATCTCCTCTTCTCTGGCAACTTCCCCGTGTTATTTCAATTTTTGCACTGGTTGTAAGATCACTAACAATTTTGTGTATTTAGGGCACTGGCTAAGTAGCACAATGGATGAGATATTTGGCTGCAAACTCAGAAGTTGGGAGTTCAATTCCCCTCTATGTTTCCTAAGAGTGAAGCCAGCCTGTGTGGCTCTGGGCAACCTGCACATGCCCAGGATGCCCCCAGAAGAAGGGAATGGCAAGCCACTTCTGAGTACTGTCTACATGGAAAATCCTGAATAGGGTCACCATAAGTCAGAATTCACGTGGTGGCATATGATTATTAATTAATAGGACAACAGCCTTGTTATGAAAAATATCTATAGTAACAAGTCAGACATAGATCACATATTTTTTTCTAACTTTAGCACTGCATCACTTTGGTAATATGCAACTTAATTTTTTATTTTTCAAGAGAGAAATGCAGACATTCCAAAGGATGCCTGAAAATCAAAGAAATACTACACAACATTGAAAACCTGGTCTGTAAACATGCTGGCTAATGAAATGATTTAAAACCTCATGTGTAGTTTCCCCTGAAAGAGAGGCACTGTTCATTCTTGGAGACTTTAACGCTAGAGTTGGTGCTGATCATAATTCTTGGCCCACTTGTCTAGGCCGTTTTGGCATTGGAAAGATGAATGAAAATGGCCAACGCTTGCTGGAGTTTTGCTGTTATTATGGTCTCTGTGTCAGCAACACATTCTTTAATACGAAGCTGCAACACAGAGTTTCCTGGAGACATCCAAGATCCAAGCATTGGCATCAGCTTGATCTGATCCTCACTAGACGTTCTAGCCTCCCTAGTATTACGATCACACGCAGTTACCAGAGTGCTGATTGTGATACTGATCACTCCCTGGTGTGTAGTAGAGTAAAACTACGAACAAAGAGAGTATATCACACGAAAAAGGAAGGAAGACCACGTATTGACATCAGCAAGACTCGTGATCAAAGAAAAGTGAAGGAATTCGCCCAAGCACTCGAGGAAGCCCTCCCAGGTCCGGCTAATGTAAATGCACCTAAACGATGGGAACACTTCAAGAACGCTGTCTATAACACCGCCTTGTCCACCTTTGGCAAGAAGACCAAAAAGATGGCTGACTGGTTCGAAGCCCATTCAGAGGAGCTAATGCCAGCCATCGAGGATAAGAGAAGAGCTCTAGCAGCTCATTATTAATTGCAATTATAGCTCTGGGATAAAAACTATTGAGAAAGCGTGTGGTCCGAGTCTTAATTGTTCTATATCTTCTGCCAGATGGTAACAGTTCAAAAAAGTTATAAGCAGGATGGGAAGAGTCTCTCAGGATGCTATGTGATTTCCTTAGACAGCGGGATGTGAAGATGTCATCCAGGGTTGTAGCTGGAGCCCGATGATATTCTGGGCAATTTTAATGGTTCTCTGTAGAGCTTTTTTGTCTGCTACAGAGCTACTCCCAAACCATGCCAGAATGCCATAAGTTAGGACACTCTCAATGGTGCTACGATAGTATGACAGAAGTAAATGCTGAGATAAATTTAACTTGCCGAGCATTCTCAGGAAATACAGCCTCTTCTGTGCCTTCTTTATTAGCATGTTGGCATTTATAGTCCATGAGAGGTCCTCTGAGATGTAAGTACCCAGAAATTTAAAACTACCAACTCTCTCCACTTCCTCACCGTTTATGTACAGTGGTAAATGTACATTTCTCTTCCTCCTAAAATCAATTATGAGTTCTTTAGTTTTTTTGATGTTAAGTGTGAGATGATTTTCTTTACACCATAGTATCAATCTTTGTACTTCCTTTCTATAAGCAGACTCATTGTTCTTATTTATGAGTCCCACCACTGTTGTATCATCCGCAAATTTAATAATTGCATTGGTGTTATATAGTGGGGTGCAATCATGTGTGTACAGGGAATAGAGGAAAGGACTTAGCACGCAGCCCTGGGGAGCTCCTGTACTTAGTACCAGGGTAGAAGAATGGTGGGATCCCATCCTTACTGACTGTGGCCTATCTGTCAGAAAATCCTTTATCCACATGCAGATCTCCTGAGGTAATCCCAGGTTGATCATTTTTAAAAACAACCTATTTGGTAGAATGGTGTTGAAGCATGCCTTTGGAACTGCAACCGAGGGTGTCTATCTCCGGACTAGATCAGACGGAAAGCTCTTTAATCTCTCTAGATTGAGAGCGAAGACCAAAGTCCAACTGAAATGCATGCGGGACTTCCTCTTCGCAGATGATGCAGCCATTGTTGCCCACTCTGCTGAAGACCTCCAACAACTCATAAATCGATTCAGCAAGGCCTGCCAAGACTTTGGACTAACAATCAGCCTGAAGAAAACACAAGTCATGGGCCAGGGTGTGGACTCACCTCCTTCTATTAC